GAAGTTGGTTCTCTGATTTTGGGCCCTTAAAAGTGGTGTATTTGTCTTTTGAGAGATCTGCAAGTTAGCTAGTTGTTTGACTTCATGGCGGTAAATTCTTGACAGTATCAGTTAGACAAATAAGTATTGAATTTTTTTTTTTTGTAAAACTCACTTCTCGCTATCCATTCTCATTCTTGTGTGTGTCTCTCTCGCTCTCAGTTTGGCCAAAGAGGAGGTGTTGTACATAAAGGAGGCAAAGCAGCAGGAAGAGAAGATTGAGCGTCTCAAGGCAGAGGCAGGAGATGAGTATGTAATCAAGAAACAGGTAAGAAGAATAAACTACCTGAAACAACACCTGCCCTGTTGAGAAACCTGATGAGACTTACTCATTTAAAGGACTATGTTTGTGTGTGTGTATGTTTGTGACTGACAGCACAGTTCATAGTGAATCATATGAGATTATTGGGAATTATTGAGATTTTTTTTTTTTGGTGACTTTATGTGTGAGGTATTCTACGTGTCAACAACAAAAAACGTAAGGCGCCCTAGATTAACTCATGATGTTAAATATTCCACTGAAGTAAAGAATCACTCGCATCACTAACATCACATTTGCTTAAAGTTTATGATACAGTTACCAAAAAAGATACCAGTACATATACATAACATAACCCTTTCCACTTACAAAGGGGATTAGGTAGAATTAAGCGGACAAAGTCTGTGCCTGCTAGTATAGCTTTATAGCTGCATAGTTATAAAACCTGGTGAAGTAGACTGCGGCGACCACACAAATATCACCACTAGAAATCCCACTGGACCAAGCCCAGGAGGAGGCCATTCCTCTGGTGGAGTGGGCCCTCACACCTATAGGGCACTGCAAGCCCACTGAGGCGTAAGCCAAGGCTATAGCATCCACTATCAAGTGAGTCTGCTTTGTAACCGGCAGCGCTTTAGAGCGGCCTCAGAAGCACACAAAGAGCTGCTCTGAGTATCTAAACAGGCCAGAGCGTTTGACATACACTCTGAGAGCCCAAACTGGGCAGAGTGGATTGGGACCCTGCTCACCATCTGGATTGGGGAGCACTAGAAGGGTGATATCAGACTTGTGCTCTAAACGGAGTGGAGAGCACTTTTAGCACAAAGCCGTGTCTCGGTTTGAGGACGACTCTACAGTCGTTAGGCCTAAAATCAAGACAGGAAGCACTGACTGACAGTGCTTGCACGTCACCCACTTGCTTGACAGATGCTAAAGCCACGTCCTGGTGAGTTTCTCGTGAACTGCCGGCAGGAACAGAGTGGGCCGTTGGCGGGAGGTATGTTGACGATGTCCCTTCATTGTCAACCACTCATCAATGAGGCCGTGGGCGGGCTCTTCCGATGCCAACCAAGCCAGGCCGAGATCCTCCACAGCCTTAGTTGGAACGCGGATCAGCTCGCTGTCCACGCTAGGCCATGTTGTCTGCGTCAGAGGTGGGGTTTCGGGCTCTTCGACAGAACACGCCCACTCTTCAGCATCCGAAGCCGTTAATATGGAGTCATCAACAATAGCTTCATCCTCAGATGTGCCTAAGGAAATAAAGCTGCTCGCAGCCGACGAGGGGCACTGATCCTAACGTGTGAAGCACACAGGCGAATCAAGGTTGGTGGTAGAGTGAAGCACACGGGAGCTGCGCCGGTGTGAGTTCACTCAGGCCCGGTGTTAAAGCCCCGCTGCTCCGCTGTTTCTTTCTCCTAGGGGAGAGAGGAAGCAGGAGAGCAGAGCGGGGAGAACCGCCTTCATTAAAGGCGGCAATCCGCGAGTGCAGGAGGCGAGACTCATGCTCTTGCAGTGAGAGCATGCCATCTCAGTGAGCGCAGCCCAGACAGGCGATGCACTCACTGTGCCCATCTGCATTGTGCAGCGGTTCCCTGGACGAGCCACACTCGCGGTGTGACATTTGCAGCAATGTCGCTGGAAATTTGCTCAGAAATTTGCTCTTAGATGTGCCAGATGGCTGCAGGGGAAGGCTTCTATAGAGCCAAATCATATAGAGGTCGGCTCCTCCCCTTGTGACAGGTTCAATGCCATTGTTTTGTGCAGCTACACGAAAGTGAATAAATCAGGTTTCAGTAAATCGGAGTAAAAAGGAGTTTTCCCATAAGCGTGTCACGGCAACGGGAGAGACCGTTCGAAAGGGAACTGAACGCTACACTGCTGGTACCAGTCGGTTGTTCTGTTGTGTTCAAGAAATTGCTTTGGTAAGGGTGAAAGAGACAGAGCTGATTCAGTATGGCAGCGCTGTGGGTGAAATCAGGGTGAGTTTTAATGAGTTTTAATGTGCTGATGCAAAATTAATGATGTTATGTAACTTTAGAGGAGTTTTGTAATTAACAACACATGCTGCTAATTTAGAGGTTCTCAAGGAGTAGTGGCCCATGTTCTCTCTCTCTTCATTCTCTTCTTCACCTTCTATCTGGAGTGAATGCATATATAGCTGTTTTAAAGGACTAGTTCACACAAAATGTACAATTCTGACATGATTTACTCATCTTCATATCTGATGACAGTTGTACATGTGTTAGTTATAAAGTAATAACTTACCAATAACTTACAAACTCACTCAACAAGGAGTTTAGCGTTTTCCAGTGAGCTCCTTCAAATACTTAATGAAGTAATACAGACACATAAAATGCTCTCTGAGAGTAAGAGAGAAGTTCTTTTTGTTTTGTTATAGTACAGAGCCAGTAAAATCTCTTAAACGTGTCTTTAACAGATGGAGGTGTTGCAAGAGTCAAGAATGATGATCCCTGACTGCCATCGTCGTTTAGCCGGGGCCCATGCTGACCTGCAACAACTGTTGGTGAGAATATGAAACGCACAGTGTTGACCTACCTGTCAGGTTTGAACTCAGCAGCACAATTTAGTTACCCAAAAATGAAAATTTGCTCAAAATGTCATCCAAGATGTAGATGAGGTGTTTTCATTATCAGAACAAATTTGGAGAAATGTAGCATTACCTCACTTGTGTTCACCAGTGGATCCTCTGCAGTGAATGGGTGCCGTCAGAGTGAGAGTCCAAACAGCTGATAAAAACATCACAATAATCCTCAAGTAATCCACACCTCTCCAGTCCACCAATTAATCCACCAACATGTTTGTTTAGAACTGTTTTGGACTATTTTCACTTGTAAACGGTGCTTGATCTGTGCATATTTCTCTCTTGATTCCGACAAGATGATTTTTTCACTGGGGTTTGAAGTTAAAATCCTTTTAATGATGGATTTGTTTCTTAAAAACGCACAGCTTTTTGCTTCCCATGATGTTAATTGATGGGCTGGAGTGGTGTGGATTACTTGTGTAATGTTTTTATCAGCTCTTTGCACTCTCATTCTGACGGCACCCATTCACTGCAGAGGATCCATTGGTGAGCAAGTGATGGAATGCTAAATTTCTCCAAATCTGTTCAGATGAAGTGACAAACTGATCTACATCTTGGATGGCCAGAAGTTGAGTTTGGATAGAAAAGTTATTCATAGTCTGAATATTGGCAGTACAGGAGGAAATTTTTGTGTCCAAGCATCTCCCAGGTGTTCGGATCAGTGCCAAGCACAAGACACCGTGACATTGCAGGTTTATGTGTGTGAGAAAGATGTCTGTTTGTGAGAGATGTACAGGGGAGACAGTGTGCCATCCACTTCCTGTTTGTTGGCGTTTAGAGGAAGTAGAGGATTACAGGGGTCACATTAATTAATAGCAAACGAAGCTGATTGCACAGGTGCTTTTCAAACAGCTTGCTGCGAACAGCCCCTGTTTGTGTTTCAATAAAAATGGTTCATATACCCTCTACATTTTTGTGTCAGAGTATAACATACCATCAGCCACAGCAGCAGCTCAGTGAGGCTACACACACACACAGTCCTGTGCTGCACTCATTCAGTTCATTAGTAATGTTGTCACGGCAATGGCCTTTATAGAAACCATCGTCGATCGATTAGCATTGATATGACCTACTACTCTCACTGCCTCCATTACATTTTATCACTGTGTTACGTGTGTGTTTGTTTGTCTGAGGGGCTTGTGTGTGTGTGTGTGATTATCTGACAGGTTTACTGAGTGGATTAGCTGTTTTTGGTGAGGTAGTTAGTCTCTTTCATTGTGTTACTGTGATCTGATTTACTAACTCCAACTGGATGGAAAGCTCCCACTCTGTAGACTTCAGGTTTGAATTTATTTAGTCATTTAAGGCAGTTAAAAACCAAGATGGTTGTGTATATAAGTGTAAATATTTTGATAAATGTTTTTATATGGACTAAAATGATGCAGTGGATCTTGAAATCTGAGGTTTGGTATAATCCAATTACATTTATATGATTCATGATAAAAAAAAAACATTGTGATCTTAAAATATATCAGTATTTTGGATAAGAAACAAATGTGTAATAGGTATAGTAGTAATTATGATCAGTTCATTCAATTCTGTAACCAATGCTTTGAATGTATTGTAAATTACTAGGGTTGTAAGATGCATCACTTTCTTCATGTTATTTGTTCATTATTCATATTTGTAATTAACTAAATATTACTCACACTCATTAAGACTCCAGATTGGGTACAGACGATGACTTGAAATCATTTTTATTTTCAGGAAACAGAAGAGGAACTGGCTGAAATGGAAGAATACAAGGAGGCCAGAACTGTTTTAGATTCAGTCAAGCTGGAAGGATGATGGACACGAACGAATAAACACCCACAGACGCTAATGTACACACTGACATCCCAAGTGTCCATTCCATTTGTTCTGACCTGTTTAGCGTTTCAGAAGCAATGCGATGTTTACTGATTGCTTACGTTTGCATTTCAAAGATTTTTGTATTGATTCATAATTTAATGACACCATTTTCTTCCTAGCATTCTGTGATCAAATGCATACTATCATGAAATAAAGTTTCTTTTTACTATTTCAAACCCTTCTGTTTTTTGTTTTTTTATTGATGTACAGATAAACCTTCATGCGCCTAGTTATTATTGAATACTGACATTTTTTGTTCAGCTCGATATCTTCAGTTCATTATAGTATGTTACTTTTTTAGATTAGACCTTCACCTGCTGGGAGGGGAAAAATTGTGACACGTCTTTGATTTCATGTAAGCATTTCACATTTATTCCTGCTGCAGGTATGTGTGACTACATGAAGCTGAATTAATATGTAAAACACTGGCCTTGTGTTTTGATATAAGATGCCATATGCTTCCCTTCTCATAGAACTGCAGTAATTAATGCAGAATTTGAACCTGGATGTCAGTCACGTGGACAGGCTTTGCTTTCCTGCATGCAGAGGGAGACAGGTATAGCATGAAAAACTAGTATGTGATGAGAATATATTTCCAGCTCTCCTGAAAAGACACTGACCTCCGCTGGCCAGATTCTCTAATGCAAGCACGTGCCCACGGCTGCAGTTCGCCTGCACACATGCTTTGACCTAGTTGCTGGATATTTTGCAGTTTTAACATAATTGCATCATTTTAATTCTGGGTGTATTTTGTAGGCTATGAATGTCTTTGCCATTTCATATTAGCCATGAACATTAGGTAATGGAGGGCCTGTTTCTGATCCTCTGGTAGAGATTGCATCAAGCTTTTCCCATGTCTCAGATATTGTAATCAACGTTGTCAAGGTAAATGGATAAATTTCCTTCGCAATAACTTACTTTCTTCAATGCATTTGATATCACATAGGTCAGATTTTTTTTTACAGAACTATGTGATATAAAATGCAGGGGGCAACTCTTCAGTAGTCCGTATGGTTATGTATCGTTTTCTGTTTAAAGTGCCCCAAAAACTATTTGGACAGTCAAACCTAAACATGCGTGGATGTTGTTGCATTCAATAACAAAATAAAACATAATAGATAAGGTAATCAAACCAAGTGGCATTTATTTTTTAAGAAAAGATGGCATAATCACAGTTTTCAAGCAAGACATTTAATCATTTTATGTTTTCGTAAAAACTATATAGATATACTGTTTAAATAAAGACAAATATTATATATATATATTTGTAATTATTTATTGCACATGACGTGTTTTTGGTTGCATGTTATATTTTTGACCTTTTTTTGTGTGTGGTTCATAGGCCCATATGTAAAAATAAAAAGATACTTGAGGCACCATTTTGTCTCTCTGAAGAACTTCTAGGAACCCTAGAAGGGTCCTTAAATATGTCCATATCTTTCTATATTTGCAGCGTATAACGCAAATATCTTTTTCTCTAGGCATGTCCCAGTAGCGTTGCACTGCTGTGATTAGGAGTTGTTTAAATTATGTCCTTTTCATTGGTTGTTTCCTCACTGAAACAGATCATTGAATGGATTTCTGTCAGGTTCATCCCACAATCGCGTTTCTTCTTAAGTCTATATAGTTCCGCCTAATTCGGTGTGTTATAAAATGTGTTTCGGGTTTTTTTTTTTTTTTAAAGCCGAAGGAGCAGATGAATTCGGGTTCCATTTGGCTTGGTCTTCATTCTACATATTTCGATAATTATCGGGTTCACCCCGAAGCCTCATTATAGCGCTAATGAGGCGCCGCCACTCCGTGACACCCAACCGCTCCATCTCATTAAGAAAATCGCTCTTCAATGCTGATTATTTTATTTGGAGCCATAATTATATTTCTTTCGGATAAATCACGGTCTAATCGAGTCCGTTCGGAGGGCAGAGCCTAATTGGAGCATGAGATGCGGCGGCGGGCGCGCGCTACCTGAGCCTGCTCGCGCGACCGGAGGAACCACAGCACCTGATGGATTTGGGGGGAGGAGGGATTCTTCATCACCCCCTCCTCCTCCTCTTCCTCCTCCTCCTCCTCCAGCTAAAACACAACAGCTTATTACCTTTAATCCCCCCGACTGTCACCGCATCACCTGCACGAAACAAGAATCTAATTTGTTAAACTGGCATTTCTGCAGATGGACGATCGATTTTCTCTTTAGAATTCTCTAATTGAGTGAATATAGACGCCCCGTGAATCACATTCCGCCGTGGAACCGCATGTGCGGAGAAAGAGGGCGTTATGCTGCACGTGTGTGGGTGTGGAGCCGGTTGTGTCTGTTGTGTGGACCGAATGTCCCCCACACGGACAGCAAGACCTAAAATCACTAAAAATGTTTTAATGGAAATCTGAAAATGCAGAAAGGTTTGTGAGAACTAGATCAGTGTGAGAAGTCAGTGAAGCAACAAATGTGTGTATTTGCGTGTCATTAGAAGTCAAATAGCCGAAAATGTACCACATAAAGTGGCTAATTTAATCAAATATTTCCGTAAAATGAATACTTATGATAATAATAATATAGTTTATGTAATA